TAAAATAAGTGTAGCATGTGACAGGATTTCCTTCCTTTTTAAGGCTGAATATTATTCAAGGTAATGATTTTTAAAGTACTTAGCTGAAGTCAGGCTAGCTTTAGCCTCTAAATCAATGAGAACTACAAATCAACTTAATGTGATTTGTATATATAATAGAAAAATATAGTTACCTATATTTAATAAAACACTGTACCATGCTGAGACAGAATCCCAACAACTGAGAATCTCCTAAAACTATAATAAACTCCTTTGGGACCATTATGCAAGACGGTAGCTTTTGACAAATGCCATGTAAATATATTCTTAAATTTTGTTGTCAACAATTTATAAGTTGAGCTACTGAGATTTGAACCTCAATACAGTTTCCATTTTTAACATACTGAATAAAAAGAATGAGAAGTGCCAAATTCATCAATTTTCAGTTTCTGAAAGCACACACCATACTTTAAAAAGACTTTTTATTTACTATTCATTTGACGTTCTTAGAAGGAAAAGTAAAATGCCTTACCATTCCATTCATACTTTTGAAAAGAAAGTACTGCATTTGTTATTGTTTTCCTTATTCTCATATCATTACAAAAATGCTTTTTACATTCTTAGATGGTTGAAAAAAATTTTTAAAGAATAATACTTTATGACATGTGAAATTCACATGAAATTCAAATTTCAGTGCCCATAAAGTTTTATTGGAACATACACGCACACCACACAGACACACACACATGCGCAAATTAACATACACACACTAGAAAACATTTCTGGATTCTTTCTTTAGTTCTCCTGGTCTTTTACTATGCCAATGCCACATTGATTTGATTATAATGGCTTTACAGCCACTGTTATCTTCTGATTCATGGAAATCAGAGTTATTCTTCACCATTCTTTTTCTCATACTCTATTCCCCCACATTATTATATAAAAAAAAAAGGTGAATTCTAATCGAAATTATATATTAATTTTGGGAGAACTGATATTTTAACATTGTTTTCCTATTTAACTTTGACGTCTTTCCATTTGTTCCTATCTTCTTTGTTTATATTCTATGCGTTTCCTTTGTGTAATTCTGTCATTGTTTTTGTCTTTATTGAAAATGAGATTTTTTTCCAATTTCCTTTTTAGGTAATCGTTAGAATAGATAAAAACTACTGATTTTTATATATTTAACTTTAATATGGTCATTGCATTTAATTCTCTTGTAATCCTAGGGTAAATTATTACATTTTCCTGTACTATTTTGGCATCCAATTACATCATAGGCAAAAAGAGATATTTTTATATCTTTCTTTCCAACTAATATCAGTTATTTTACTTAATTTTGTTGTATTCAATAGACACACCATTATTTTAGTATATGTACTGTCGAAGCAAGCATGACACACAATTATTAGATAATAGTAATAATAATAGAGGCATTTCTATTTATTTTTTATTTTAATTGAAATAGTTTTAGTATTTCCTGGTTGGGATAACACTTATTGATTTTAATTTTTAAGGTATTTTTTATTATATTAAAATAGTATTCCTCAATTTCCATTAAATGTAGAATTATCATTACAAATAGCTCTTTAATTTCATCAAATGCTGCTTCTTTTTTTTTTTTTTTTCCACATTGGGAGGCCTAGGTAGGAGGATCACTCAACTGTCGTTTCTTCATCTATTGATATAAACATATATTATTTTCTTTGATAATTTATTAATGTAGAAGATTATGTAGTGTTTTCTAAAACTGAATTATCCGGGCAATTAGAGAATTACTTATTTGGTCTTAATATATTATCCTATAAAAGCATTGCCAGATTCTGTTTGCTATTGTTTCATTTTATTTGTTAGATACATATTTGTGATAGAGATTGATTGTATTATTCCTTTTTGGTAGATTCTTATACATGTTTTAGTATTAAAGTTATATACATTCATGAATAAAATGGAAGGAATTTTTTCTTTATAATATGGAATATTTTAAATAACATTGGAATTATCTCTTTTTTAAGTTATGCAAGACTTAGTTGTAATTTTCATCTGGTATTCATGCCTGTTTTTTAAGTAATATTTTATTTCAGAAAAGTTTTAGATTTTTAGAAAAATTACCAAGTACAGAGAGATACCCAATCTATAACCCACAGAGAGTTTCTGCTATTTGCTCCTATAGCAGGCAGGAGTTTGAGATTACAGTGAACTATAATGGTGCCATGGTATTCCAGCCTGAAAGACAAAGCAATACCCTGTCTTCAAAAAAATGTGTGTGTGTGTGTGTGTGTGTGTGTATGTGCAGATGGAGTTAGCAAGCAGGAAGAAACAATGAAGCAATATTAATACATTGTTATTAACTAAACTCCATACTTTATTTGGATTTTAGTTTTTACCTAATATGCTTTTTCTGTTCTTCATTGCAGCCAACATATTCAATATTGAATTAGTTTAATTTCTTGGGCCTTGTTCTTATTCAAGCTTCATTTTGAAGTTTATTCTGGTATAAGCCATCAGGGAGAAATGGAAAGAACTCAAATTTTGAACTCAAATAAATCTTAGCTCAAACATAGGTTCCATCTATGGAATTACTAATATAGTAAAATGGTTATATAGTGTGGTTAATTAGCATCAAAACTTTTGTAGGAATTTAGAAATGCTGAACCACATTATTTCATATTTATATGTAATTATAATTCTGTGTTAATATATTAATTTTTTTAGTAGTATACTAATTCCAGACTATTGAATATTTACAATGAGATGAGAAAGATTTATTTTTCTCATTAAAAAGTATTTTCCAATCTTGAAATACTGTGTATCATTCTCATTACTGAACCATAAGGAGAAAATAATAGCTGGGAAATATAGAGAGCATAGCCACAGTCATCAAGGAAATAGAAATTTTCATACTAAAACAATTTTCTTTTAAGACAGGGTCTTGCTTTGTCTTCCAGGCTGGAGTACGGTGGAACCATCATAGCTCACTGTAATCTCAAACTCCTACTTGGCTAATTTTTGAATTTTTTTTTCTTTTTGTGCAGGTGGAATCTCCCTATGTTGCTCAGGCTGGGCTTGAACTTCTGGCCTCAAGCAATCCTCCCCCCCTGGGCTTCCCAAAGTGCTAGGATTCAGGATTACAGGTGTGAACCACTGCACCTGGCCTCACAGAAACTTTTAAAAGAAAGATTTTTTTGTTAAGAATGCAGAATTTTGAGAGACCAATTATTACCAAATTATGAAGAGTATATAGGTTGTACTTCAGTGGTGTAATATTTAGGTAGGATCTGGCCAGAAGACCCAGAAACGCTGGAGTCCTGCCACTGATCAACTACCCATTTCTGTGAAGCCTTGAGGAAAAAGCATTCACTCAGGAGGCAGGCAAGGTAAATGTATTCCTAGGTGGTACTCAGTTAGAAACTCTCCCTTAGAGGCCTGCAAATGAGCTAGGGGGGTGCAACAAAGAACTCCCTTTGTCTAAGTTAGGTTACGTTCAATGGCTGAAAATCAAATCACACAGAAAGCATATAAAATCGGCTTTACCATTTCCATTTCCAATCTCCAAAAATATGTATATCCCAGCAAACAATAATGCAGACTGCTGCAGACAGAATGGACAGACGGGGCATGAAATTCTGCATCAGTCCATACGGCAACCATGGCCTAGACCTGAGTTTGCAGTTTGGGTTGATAGCCTTGTTTGGATCATCAAGGGCAAATGATGTCCTTAAGGACATAGTGGGCAAATTTACAAGCACCACTGGATTGTCATACAGAGCACATGAATTTTTCTCTTTCATCTCTGTGACTCTAATATATCATAGTAAATATCTAGCTCTTCTGAATGGGTATAGGTGGCAGTTTGGAAAATAAGGTTAAAATAAGTTGAGAGAATTATGAGGGTTTCTGACAGAATGCAGGGAGAATCGAAGTTGGTGAGATGTTTCCAAAATATTACAATATTAGTTTTCCTGCCATTAAAAAAAATCTTTGCCACCTCTCGCTTTGGATTATACGTCTCTCCCCATTAGAGAGAGAACACCTGAGGGCAGGGACTTTCTTATGCTTTTGCATCCTCATAACTTAGCAGGGATGGAACCTATAGTATACACCAATTCTTGTTTTTTAAGTGCATAAATAATTTAGCTAGCTATTGAACAGGAAAAAAGGTATTACAGATACATCCTTGAGAAGCATATAGCCTCGCAAGGAGTAGGTTCCGACATATATGGCACAATGAAGCCACAGTAAATGTTGCATAGAATTGAGTGGCAAATCGTGTATATACTACAGAAAATGAAAACTATAAAAACTTGTAGTAGGAACAAATTAAAGTACTGTAGATCATTTGGAGGTGAGGTAGGATCAAGGTAGGATTCGTCTAAGCCTTTGAGGATATTTAGAATCTGGACAGAATTCTTCCCGGGAAAAACAGCCTGCGAGAAGCACAGGTGGATTCTGACATAGATTCCTTAAGCTCCCAAGGACAAGCTAGGTTTCTTTTGCCCAAGGTTGAGACCCATGGGTTAGTGGGGGTGGACTGAGCTTTTTCAGTGCCTTCGCTTTGCTTTATAAAGAGATGAATCAATATTGTGGTTGCCTGGCATCCGACAAAAGCGGCAGCTTTCAGTCACTTGCCCAGCTTCAGTTGGTGAGCTTTTCGCCTCCTTTCCTGGGGTCCCCATTTCTTTCTTTCTTTTTTTTTTCTTTTTTACCCTTATCTTCTTTGTGATTTTTTTTCTGGGCTCCCCATTTCTTGTCACCGCCCTAACCCCTGGGTTTGTCTTAGTTTGGACTATCTACGGGTTAAGATCAGAGGTGCTTTTCCTCTGTGAGTACGAGTGGAGTTGCAGTAGCATCCGGGGAGAACTTGCGGAACCCCAAGCTCTCTGCTTCATGCTACTGCTTTTTTCTTTCCTAGGTTCTGTTGAGTCGGGAAGCAGATCAAGGTCAAGTTAGTCCTCACCCTTCCTAACGCGTTTTTTAAGGTTCTTCTGCACACTTAAAAAATTCGAGACCTAAGTAGTTACCGGGCTCTCAAGAGCTACGACGTTTAGTCCTGCCTTCTTCAGGGTGCGCCGGGCTCCGGGTGGAGAGAGCTGTGGACGGCTCACGGTTCACCGCGCATGCTCCCAGGGCTCGGCCCAGGGAGGTGCCTCCACCTAGCTCCCCAGAGACTGGGCCCGCCTCCTCCCCAGGCTTCCGGGTGGAGAGAAGTGGGCGGAGTTAGGGCCGGAAGCACCAGGGCGGGCATCTAATCCCTAATCCCCAATTTTGGTGGAGCGTGACTGGCAAACTGTTGATTGTGTGAGACGTCTAATCTCTAGTCGCTCACCCCTCTACTTTACCACAGGGCTAGAAATCGATTTGAGGAAATCTGATACCAATGAGCGGGCGGGGAGACAACCCCAATGCTAATTTCTCTATTTACGGAAGTTCTGTCCCGGCCTCCCCAGGCTGGTGTCGGCTTCCTTTTTCTCCACACCTGTAGCCGCCTTGTTTTTATCGTTTTCAGCACCTGCCGTTCCCCAGCGCCCCCACCACCACGAGCACTATGTATGATCGGGCTCCCCGCCTGCTCAAATTGGCTGAAGGTGGCAGCACTGAGGCCCATGTGGGTCCTGGATCCTACCAGGTACCTTTCCTGAAGCAGCAGGCGACAGGTAAGATGTAGGGAGAGGCAGATCTCCTGTGACAGGCATCCCATCTTCAGCCCGCTCCCCTTCTGCGTGTTTGTGAGTTAAACATAGAGCGGAATAGCACCATTTTGTAAATATAACAAAACATGAAGTAGACAGGGAAAACACTATACTTTTATTTTACAGTTGAGATTGGTGGTATCACTTGTCCCATTTCAAAAGGCTGGTAAGCATATGTCTAGGACTTTTGATTCTACAATAGTTGTTTACATCCTACTTTCGATTGTGCAGTTTAGGTCTAGGATGATTTCCTGGCTCTGTTGACTACGTGAGTCCCCAAATCCTGTGCCCTTACCTCCCACTGTCTCATTGCTTTGTAATCCTGCCTGCCTCACACCTTTCCTCCCATTGACCGGAGACATTTATTTACTAAGATGCAGCTTTTTCTATTTTGCAGTATTATTTAAAGATAGTTCCTTTTTTTTTTTTCCAGACAGATTTTTCTGACCATCCTCATCTTCTAACACACTTCAGGGGAGCCCCTTTTCTCCACATTCTGTAAAGAAAAGCTATATTTTTGACCAGTGAAGTGGGGATGGATTTTTAAATGATATTTGCTCTCCTCGTATGTTTGCAGTTAGTGACTTAGGCGAAAATAAATATACTGATTTTGCTTTCTACTTTTTCTATTCTGATGATTTTCTGGAGCTTAATACCGTCCAAATGATAGTTTTTCTTAACTTGCATTTTCCCCATACCTACACTATGTGTTTTCCAGCAAATGCCAGGATCCATTATTCTGTTACATGACTGATCAGATAAGGATTGGTTTAGGTTTCTTGGGATGGAGTACAAAAGACTTCTGTCAGTGTTTCACATGTTGAATTGTACTGCTTCACAGCATCTGATATCACTATTCTTGCAGCTTATTCTATGTCTTTATTTTAATGGAGTTGGGCATTATAAGCATTAATTCCCCCAACAATAGTCATAGGTGGCTAACAATGACCACCTATGACAGTTTGCAATCCTTCATTTTGACACAACTGACCACTTGCTTCTTGGAAACACTTCTTTCCAAAATGTAACATCATTTTCTCCTGGTTTTTTTTTTTTTTTTTTTTTTTTTTTTCCAACTACTGTCTTGGAAGAGTGTCTGGGATGTGGTTGGGACCTAATAAACATTTGTTAAATGCTGAATCAGGGCAACATTTTCTCCCCCTCTCCAAGCAGTCCTTCATGGCCTTCTTTAAATGTTTTTATGTTTCTTGTTGATGAAAAGAGTCAAACTCTGTAAAATATTTTAAGAGATTTATTCGGAGCCAAATATGAGTGACCATGGCCTGTGACACAGCCCTCAGGAGGTCCTGAGAACACATGCCCAAGGTAGTTGGGGTACAGCTTGGTTTTATGTATTTCAGGGAGGCATGAGGCATGAATCAGATACACGTAATAAATACACTGGTTTCGTTCAGAAAGGTGGGACAACTCAAAAGTGGGGGCTTACAGGCTATAGGTAAATTTAAACATTTTCTGGTTGACAATTGGTTGAGTTTATCTGAGGACTGGCATCAAAAGGAATGTTCAGGTTAGATAAATGATTGTGGAGACCAAGTTTTGTTGTGCAGAGGAATCGCTCAGATAGCAGACTTCAGAGAGAAAGCACAGGTTGTAAAATGCTTCTTATCAGACCCAAAAGGGTTGCTGGCTCTTAGTTGATTATCTCCTGTGTCTGGAAAGGAAAGAAAATGAAGGGGAAAGGGAATTCTCTATAGAATGTTGATTTTTCCCGTGAGAGACTTTGCAGGGCAATTTCAAGGTATGGCAAAGGAAATATATTTTTGGATAAAACATTTTGACTTTCTTCCTTGTCTCATGTTATTCCAGAGTCAGATTGGAAAGTAAGTCGTGATATATAGGATTAAATAAAACCCATCTGATGAGAATTTATAGTTTGTAGGGCATGACTCCCTAGACCCTTTAGATAGGAATTTGGGCAAGATAAAAAAAAAAAAATCAGAACTTAGTTCTCATTTGAAACATCTTTAAATGTTTATATACTGTACTTTCCATCCTTCGCTTGTTGCTTTTGTCATATGTACTTTCTCCTGTGTTCATAGACTACTGTCCATATTCTGATTCTGATGACTCCCAGAAGGAAATCTTAAGAGATATAGGTGATTTATGTCTCTAAGATGAGCTTTCTCCTAATCTTTCGGCCTTCAACACTGCTAGTCACTTTTGTTTGTTTTTCTTTTCTTTTTAATTCTTTTGTTGTTGTTGTTGCTGTTGATGTCCTTGAGTCATAACCAGTTACTTTTTTGAACATCTCTACCTAGATAGTCTGGCATCAAAGTTTTAAGTGTCTGAGCTCATAATTTTTTCCAGCAATACTGGTCCCTTTTTGAAAATTCCCTATTAGTTTATGATAAACTTTAAGTTTTGGAATTATTCTAGACTGTTTTCTCCCTGACTACTCCTGTTGATCATTAACACCTAATGATTCTGTCTTCTCAGTGTCTCTTTGATTAGTTCCTCTTTTCCGTTTAGCTGTCCTTGACTTAGTTCAAGCTCTCATTATTTCTATTTTGAATTAAACCTATAAAATATTACTTGTTTTTCCTTATTTCAGTCTTCAATCCATCTTCTATCTTGTGGCAAGAGTGATCTTTCTAAGATACATTACGTTATTTGTGAAAAAAAAATCCTTTGTAACATCAAGGTTAAAATCTGAACTCCTTAACATGGTTTATAATGTTCTTCATGTTCTGGACCCTGACCTCATCTCCCACACCTCCACCTCCACATGACCTACATTTCAGCAATTTCAACTTTATGGTTTTCTTAAGTTCACGCTCACTCACCTCTGTGCCTCTGTATCTGCTGATACTTTTGCCCATTACACTGTTTTCTTTCTTCACTTGGCTAATTCCTGTTTTTTCTTTGAGATTCAGCTAAGGTGAAGTTGTTCACGGGCTCTACTTTTTCTCAGGTTTTTCTTCTCTGACTCCTTAATGGCTTTTATAGCACTTTGATTCTATATTGTAATTAAAGTTAACTTATCTGGCAGACCCACTAAAATGTGAGCTGCTTGAGGGCAATAACCACGATCTTTACTCCATTATTCCTAGTTTTTAGCTGAATACCATAACACATAAGTTAAAAAACAAACAGTAATCTTGAAATAAAATTAAAATATAATGAGCCACATATAGCGTAATTTAAAACTCTTGTAACTTTGCTTAGAGAGAAGTAAGGAGCGTGTGGTAAAATCCTTTTACTGTTTTATAGGATTGTGTCTTGTTGATCTGTGAGATAAAGTATGAAATTCCATGCTGGGGAAATTTGAGCAGCTGCATCCTGTATGTTTTGTTTTAGCAATACTAAGAGAGAATATGCTGAAAATCAATAGAAGGAACAGGTTTCTCTTTGGTGATTTCTCTGCTGGATTCTCTGGAAGATAATTTAAAAGGAGCTACCGTCTCTTTCCTAGGTACATACTACCTCATCTACCTTTAGGACGAGTAACACATGGGACTATGCAGAAGTGTACAATTATTTCAGCTAAGGGTCAGGTTCATTTTGTGGAGCATGGTGTGGGAAGAACAGATGTAGGGACTTTATATAACTTACTTGTTACTTTGAATTTCGCAAGAGGAAAATACCTTAGAGCCTTAGATACTGATACTCTTTATTCCCAACCTTTCTCCCCTAACTGCCGCTCTCCCGCTGTCCCCTCACTGTAGCCTGCTTGGCCAGGCCAGTCCTTCAGGGTATTGTCTCTACATTTTCCTCAGGAAATTCTTTTTACCTTAATTGAAACTATTTCATTGGCTGTAGGCCATTTGATCAGGGAGACTCTCTTCTACCCAGGAATTGCAACCTGAGGGGACAGGACTAAGCTGTTTTTCTTTCTGCTTTCCTGAGGTGGGAGAGGTTGGATACTCAAATTCCAGATTAGTGAGAGCTATGCCTGATTTTCTCATGATTACCTGAGAAGCAAACATCTCTTATTAAAGTAAATATTCCCCAGAGACAACTAGCCTAGTATCATGTGATAAAAACATACTTCTTTTACTAATGTGACTACTCCTGGCATTATTGTGCCAGGGAGTATTTCATTGCTTTTTGACTTATTTATATAATAAATATCAGCTGTATATATCTATTGGTTCTCTGTTAGTTAGCTAAGCTGGGTGCCATCATCTCCTAAAAATATTCTTTCCCAGATTTCTTTTTTGGTTGGGGAGTGGTTAGCTTTATTGGCCACAGAAGGATAAGTTGGCTATGGCCTCATACCTGTGCCTATGTGCTTATGTCAACAATGATAATTTTATCTTTTTAGCCTATCAGAATATAGCTGCATCAGGGAATGCAATCTGTCTCTTTTAAAGTTTAGATAATAATATGTATGTGATTGCTGTATATGTTGTTGTCCTGAAGATGAGTACATGTTTCAAAGATCTAATTACTGCTTATATGTGAAAAATGTCCTTTTCTTTCTTTTGTGGCTGTAGTTGTGGCTATAGAATTTGTCCTTTAATCACATACTGCCCACTTTCTCTTTCAGCATAGACTGACTGACTATTGCTTCATACCAGTTTGATTTATCTTTCTCTGTTGGTGCCTCAAACTCAATATATCCCAAACTGAACTCATTTCTTTCTTCTCAAATCTCTTCTATATACTTAATTTCTTCTTTCTGTCAGTTTGATTTATAATTTGTAGTTGGCACTTCACATGTCAATATAGCCATATGTCCCATATCAAACTCTACCATCTCTAATTCCCCAGAACCCTCTTCTGTATTTTATACCTTAATTATTGGCAGTGCTTTTTGTAGCATAATTGTCTATTTGTCAGGCTTACCAACTATTTGAGGGCAGGGTTTTATCTTATTCATTATTGTACCCTCACTGCCTGTCATACATGCTTGTCTCCCATACATAATAAAACATTCACTATTACAGAATGGATGACTAGTTTAGAAGATCGTTTGTTAATTGGTCACCCTCACTGTAAAC